AACCCTCCCCAGCTTTCAATCTGTACCTGAATATATTTATTCCTTTAATCCACGTGAAAGTGCAGTCCTCACAAAGACCTCTAATACCTTATTAATCACTTCTGGACCGCGTCACAAAGAGGCTTTAGGAAGCAAGTGCTCTGGCCATGGGGCGACGTGCTCCTGGAGGCTTAAAGGATGTGGATGAAGGGCCCCTTTCCCACATGGAAGGTGCCTCCTCTGGGCATTTTTAGACTCGATTTGAACTGGAAATCTGAAGGGAATCTCTAGACAGCCAGAACAGCCCCCCCTCCTCGTGAGGCTCAGCCTGTCCTTAGGAACACTCACGCCCGTGACTCGTGAAGGCACCACTGGAGAATTCCAAGTTCAGTTCCCGAGTTCTGGAATTGTGGTCTTGGAAGCCTCCAGAAGGAGCTTTGGAGTCCTTGGCACTTCTGAAATGCCATTTTACAGAGCTGTGTAACGTAACAGATCCCTGTGGAGCAGCAGCCTGGAAAACCTGACCTGGGCTGGGACTTACCTGGGCTTGGGATGAGGCTTTGGCTCCTTTCAGTGCAGGTGAGAGCAGGGACGAATGTCCCAGCACCCTTCCAACCTGGGCCCCTGGGGGTTCCCGTTTTGTCTGTGCTGCTCAGCTGAGTGTCAGGAGCTGCTCCCGTGTGTCTGGCACGCCGTGACCCCGGGCAGTCCCTGCCTGGCTCCCCCGGGTTTACATCAGCCCAGACGCCGGGGCTGGTGCCCTAATGAGAAAGCGGCTTAATTGTGGCACCCGGCCGGGATCCGATGAGCCGGGAGGCCCCACCCGCTGTAGCTGTAACTGAGCCCCAGGGCAGGAGCAGCCCCAGCCTTCGGGCTCTGCCTGGGGATTTACAGCCAGCTCCTGGTGTGCTCCCTGCTCAGGAATACTAAATGGGATTCTGCAGCCTCCCCATTGGTTTTTCAGGGGGCTGAAATCCTTGGTTGCTCTGGGGACGCTCAGGCTTTGGTTTCCAAGGATGCCACCCAGGATGCCGTGGTTCCCCCTGCTCTGGTGGCCGCATTTCCCGTCCCTCTTCCAAAGGACTGGACAGGGCTGAGGGCTGGATGGATGCCCAGCCCTCATGCAAGCCCTGCAGAGCAGCTCTGTCCCTTTAGCTGAGGGTCCCTGCCCCTCTGCCAGGCTCTGGGGTGCTCTGGGGGCTGCAGGAAGAGCTGCTGTGTCTCTGGGGCACAGGATGCAGGCGTGCAGGCCTCCTAAGTATTTCCAGCTGGTTTCATGTAATGCTTTCATTCTGAACAAGGCAAAAGCAGCCCAGTTTTCACTGCCATGTGCAGCCCCTCAGGTGACACAGCCCTGTTTTTGGGCACAGCAGGGCCAGGGATGAGGAGGGAACAGGAGCCTTTGCTCAGCCCAGCAGGGAACAGGAAGTGAATTACTCCAGGAGGTGTGTTTGGGGAGATATTCAGGCACCAGGAATCATATCTGTGAGCACTCCCACATCTTACAGTGTCAGAATTTCTGCTGGGCAAGGAGAAGTTGCGTGTTCAGGTGCCCGACCTGGGCCTGCTGGTTCTGCCCCTGGTGCCGAGCACTGGGGGAGGTTTGTCTTTCCGAGAGGGAGAGGGTCAGAAATTCTTTCCACTGGTCTCATGGTCTGTTACTGTAATACTTAATTGAAGTAGAAAATTTGATCTGACATGTCAAATGTGGCCCTGGTTGGCTGGAGGCCAAGCTGAGCCGCCTAATTTCGGTTTGCCTTAAAATGGCTGACATTATTCACAGGCCCCAAGTTCCCTCTGGAGTGGGCTTCTGAAATCTTTTCTCAGCAGCTTTATAAATCCCTCTGTATCTGTTCTTCCTTTAGACTTGTTTGCCTCAAAAAGCAACAGTCCCGAAGCTTGAGGGAATGTTTCCTGTAGCATTCCTGGGCCCCTTTGTATCCTCAGGTTTGGGTGGGAGAAAATGTGTATTCCCAAGTGGGTGTGCCCTGCACGAGGCCCATTCGACAACAGATTGTTAAGTTGCCTCCAATGGAAGAAAAAATGAGCAGGAAATCAGGAAATACTTATCCCAGTCTCCCAGAGTTTGTGTTCAAGGGTTTCATGAATCATGTGTGAAGATGGCAAAAAAGTTACATCAGATTTTCAGTATTTCTTCTGCAACTCCTTGTGTCTCGTTGTTTGGCAAAGGGAAGAAATGAAATCAAATCATCCCCATTTGAGGCAGTACCGAGGTTTGCTGGCTGCTGGGGCCAGAGCGGTGTTGGAGGGGGATGTCTGGGTGCCTGGAATCTGTCCTGCAGTGGGATGCAGTGGCTGAGTCACCTGGAGAGGAGACTTTGTGTTCAGTGACTCGTCCTGTTCCACATCCGAGTGTCTTCCTGTAGCCGTGAGCAAATTCACTCCTGCCTCCTCCAGAGTCAGAGCCTGCAGAAATGGAACCAAGTGGCTCCAGGCTGTGGCCAGAAGGGTGGTTCTGTGTCAGGGGCCTCAGGGGGGAGCCTCCAGTTCTTGACGAACAGCAACGTGCAGTGACTCGATGTTCCATCGACCGGGAGGGAAACCACTGGAATTATTACATTTTGACACTGCTAAGGTGGGATCTTCAAAGCAGCTCCCAAGGTGCTCAGCCAGCAGATGATCCTGGTGAGCACAACGGGACAGTTGATGGAGGTTGGTGGAGGTTGTCACAGCAGTTCCAAACCCACACTGGCAGCAGCCCTTCTGTGGCTGCATCGGGCAGCTCTGGTCTGTCAGGGTACAGGAGTCCCGTGGTGGGAGGTGACTGAAGTCAGAAAACCCTGCAGGCCCTGCTTTATCCCTCCTTTCCTCTGCCATTTCCATGTCTTTGGGGGTCAGACCTGTTTTCCCTGCACACACCTCCTTCACTGCTTCTCCCGAGCTGCAGCTCCTGTCTCCAGATCAATACGGGCTCCTGGCAACGAGGTTAAGGATCATTTCCCAGGTCTGCCGACAGGTTTTGTGCTCTGGCCCTTGGTGTCAGCCTGCATTTAGAGGGGAAAGAAGGGGGGGAGTGGAGAAAGCTGGAGATGAGCAAATGAGATCATTCTGTTGAAGCATCTCCCCTGCAGCCTTTCAGGAATGGACTCTGCTCCCATGTGATGTGGTGTCCAGAGTGGGGATGGCCCCGTTTGTGGAGCAGGGGTGGCCTGTTTGTGGAGCAGGGATGGCCCCGTTTGTGGAGCAGGGATGGCCCCAGAGCAGTGGGGACGGTCACCGTGTCTGTCCCACACCAGCACAGAATGTTCTCCAGCGCAGGGCCGGGGGAGGAACGGGCTCCATGCTGAGTCCTGCCACCTGTTGCCTTGTCCATTCCAAGCCCCCCTTCCTCCCCACCCTCCAGCCCAACTCCCCTCCCCACACAGCTCACCATCCCCAGTGGATAGGGCTGGGATCAGGAGTCTCTTGCCAAATACCTTTCCCATGCTGTCACTAATTCTGCACAGGCAGCATCTCCGAGAGCAAACACAAATCCCTTCCAGTGCATTGTCCTGCTCTCTGCACAGAGGGGTCAGGGACGGGAATGCCTTTTCCTGGTTGGGTCTGAGTGGCCCTGGGGAAGCCTGAGGCTGTGCCCAAAGAATCCCCTGCAAATCCCTTGGAGCTGGCATTTGGCTCTGGCACGGGCTGGCTGTGACTGGGGGTTACACACCCCCCTCCCGTGGGATCCTCCCTCATCTGCTCGCATGGAAAGCTGCCCTGAGTGCCAGGGAATGTTGTGCTGAGCCCTCTGGGCACGGTTTGATGACGTTCCTGGGCACACTCTGGGCATGGAGGGTGTGCCAGAGGCACTGGCAGGAGCTGGGCAGGAACAGGAGGCTGTGATTTGTGATCTCCTCCTCATCGAGGTGTGCAAAGGGGGCGGGATGGCTGCAGTTACAGAGCCTGGGGAAGGGCACTTGGACACTCCCTCAGGTACAGGGTTCCATAATCACCTGCAGGAGCAGCCTCTGAGTTCCCAGTTGAAGGTGCCTGGAGGGGACAGATTTTCAGAACAAAATGAGATCCTTTCCATCACTGGCCAGGAGACCTGAGTTTGGGGCACTTGGGGCTCCCAGGATGTGTTTTACAGACACACCTCTATCAGTACTTGTTTGCCCACAGAAATCACAGAGAGGGGTAGGGAAGGAAAAAAATCAGTGCCAAGAGGAGCATTCAGCAGTTGCTGCAGCGTGGTTCTGCCACCTCACCGGGAGCCAGGGCTGGGGAACGGGGAGGGGTGGAGAGTTTGGAGCTGCAAATAGACAGAAGAAGGGATGGAAATGGAGGTGGAACGTTTCTTTCATTATTTCTGTGCAGCGCAGGGTCCAGAACGTTCTCCCTGCCTGCCCATGGCCGTGTTTGTGCTGGCAGGGCTTCCAGCTGGTATCCCCAGAGCAACAGTTAAACCAGTAGTTACCAATTTTTTTGCAAGCCACGCTGGGACTATAGGAATTTTATTCCTTCACAGTGTTGAAGGAAAGGGGGTTTGCTTGCCAAAGGGCTTTCTTATGCTTGAGGATGATTTATGGGCCAAGCTGAGCCACTTGTGGAAAAGGCAAAGCAGCTCTTGGCAGCACCCCCAGAATCCACTGCAGCTGTGGGGTAGTGAAGTCATCGGCATAACAACCACTGCAAACAGAATAACAAAGTCTGGTCTGTTCTCGTTTAAAATAATCTTTCCAGTCCAGCAACCACATTAAACTCACCTTTCTGCACACAAAAATCATAAAAGGCCGACAGTTCTGTGCCGTGGGGAGTGGGTGTCTCCCTCAGGTCACTGCCCCTCTCTCCTGCACCCTCCACACTGCGCTGGAGGATCCCGAGGGAAGGGATGAGCTCTGTCCTGTCAGAGCTGGTGTCTGCCCCTCGTCTTCACTCCTTTGTTTGGCCTCACAGGGCAACACCCAAGGTTTCTTCCTTTTAAATACAAGTTTGGCTTTGGCCTTATCACCTGTTTCTAAGCTGATTGCAAAGGGAGGAATTCTGACTTTGATTTTTCCTGCCTGTCTTTGTTTCAGGTCTCTTCAGATCCTCCTGCTTCCAAAAAGCCCAAAATAGATGACTCTGCTTCCCAATCTCCAGCCTCTACTGAGAAGGAGAAACAGTCCAGTTGGTTACGGTCCTTATCCAGTTCATCCAATAAGGTGATTGTTGAAGATTTTGTAGAGGGAAGGTCAGATGAGCTCACGGCATCACTTCATGGAGCGGGGAAATGAGGGAGGAGAATGAACCTGCCCAGGCTTTCCCCATCAGGACCTGGCCACGGGGGTGGCCGTGGAGGTGTGGGGGTGGCCCTGGGGTGTCCCTGTGAGTGGCTGTGGGTGGTCACTCCCCTCTCTGTCTCTCCCCAGAGCATCGGGTGTGTGCACCCCCGGCAGCGGCTCTCGGCGTTCCGGCCCTGGTCCCCCGCGGTGTCCGCGGGCGAGAAGGAGCTGCCCGGCCACCTGCCCGCCCTCATCCGGGACAGGTAAGGACACAAGGGCAGCTCCTGCTTGCTGTGCCCGCCACTGCTGCTGTCCTGGCACAGCTGGACAGGTTTGGTGTTACAGCATCGCTGCTCTTTGCCCCGGTGTGCTGGTTGTTCACCTGTGGTTTCACACTCGGGTGTCGAAATCACCGCACACCAAAGACCCTTGGGCACTCCGTGGTGTCCCTTTGGGAAGCGCTGGTTTGAGCTCAGGGCACGTTTGTGGATGGACACAGGGACAGAGTGCAGCTGGGCAGAACAGCAGGGCAGGAAGGGCAGAGGGAGCAGCGTTGTGATTGGGGGATCCCGTCCCTTTGGTGCCCCTGGGGTCTGTGGCACTGGGAATGTGGTCCCTGGGTGCCCGGCACCTCCAGGCTTAATGAGAACAAACTGACAAATACGAGGTCTCAGCTGGTGAGGATCAGGGGTGTGAGCACAGCAGGTTCTCAGCTGGTGGGAATGAGTGGAACTCACTGTCATTCCCATGTAACACATGGACTGGGAAGCATCTCAAAGCCACCAACGTGACCCTTTCCTCCTTCCTTTTGCCTCCCGCTCTCAACCAGCTTCTACTCCTACAAGAGCTTCGAGAACGCTGTGGCCCCCAACGTGGCTCTGGCCCCCCCAGCCCAGCAGAAGATCGTGAGCAACCCCCCCTGTGCCACCGTGGTGTCCCGGGGCAGCGACTCCCTGAGCTCTGGCCAGCCCAGGAAAAGGAAACACGTGGAACACGCGCCCGTCCCCGAGGCCCCGGCCCCGGCCCCCGAGGAGGACAAGGAGTCGGAGGCAGAAATTGAAGTGGAAACCAGGGAAGAATGTGAGTGCTGGTTGGACCTGCCTTTGTTTTGGTGCCTCTGGGCTGGAGCTTTAACTGGGGTGTTTAGAAGGGATTCTGGGAGGCCGAAGCCTCAGCGGTGCCGCAGTGACATAAATTGCATGGTCACAATTCAAGCAAAGTGCGAGTTGGTCCCTTAAGTCTGGGCTACTTTCATGTCACATTTCAAGTATCACAGTATAAAATGAGCCAGGTTTTATTCTCTTTCATTTTTTTTTAATGGAATATTGAGAGTGTCTGTATAAAAGGGCCTCAGCATCTTTTGAGCTATATAATATATATATATATAAAATATGTATCTCAGAATATGCTGAGTGGGAAGGGGCCCACAAGGATGATCGAGTCCAACTCTTAAATATGAGTTATGTGTGAGCTGTATATAATACATGTATTGATTTTAGACCTTTTTAAATTAACGTTTCAATGTTTCTGTTTTCCAGTCACCTCCTCCTTATCCTCGCTCTCCTCCCCGTCCTTCACTTCATCCAGCTCTGCCAAGGACATGAGCTCCCCTGGGATGCAGCCCCCGGTCCCCGTCAACAGCTCCTACGAGGTGGCAGCACACCCTGACCCCCACAGCAGCGGTTTGGAAGCTGAGCTGGAGCACCTAAGGCAGGCCCTGGACAGTGGCCTGGACACAAAAGAAGCCAAAGAAAAATTCCTGCACGAGGTGGTGAAGATGAGGGTGAAGCAGGAGGAGAAGCTGAACGCGGCCCTGCAGGCCAAGCGCAGCCTGCACCAGGTACTGCCCTGCCCTGCCCTGCCCTGCCCTGCCCAGGGGGCTCCTCAGGGGCACTGGGTGCCCTCGTGGGACAAAGAAATTGCCTCCCTTTTCCCAAATAGCAACAGCCTTTGCTGGGGCTCTGTCTGTAAATCCAGCCGGGAAACCAAAGCACAGGAACCATTCCTACATCTTTAAGCTTTCCACCTGTTTTTCCTTGGGTTATAAATCCATGGTTACCAAAATCAACATCTTTTCATTACTGAAAAAGTCTCCTAGTCCAGCAGAGTTTATTTTGTTTTCATTTCACTGAACAGGAAACATTTCTGGAGGCTTTAGCTGGAGTTTTAAAAGCTTTGTGCAAACCCTGCCGTGTCCCAGCTGAGGGAGGGTGTTCCTGGGGCTTGGCCACAGCTGAACTGAGGTCTTTGTCAGGCATCCCACTGGCTTCAGTCAGGGCAGCAGTTCCTTCTTTCTGGAAATCCTGGACACATGGGTTGTATCAGAGTGGTCAGGCAGAGCTGCAGGTCAGTGCTGGCCACGAGCTGAGCCCTGTGGTGGCTGAACTGGTTTTTATTTGGGCTGGGGCAGAAGTAGAGCAGAGAAGCAGAAGATACAGCCAATGCAGAAGGTTTGTGTGTCCTCTCTGTGGGGCTGTTCCCAAGCTGGGACTCACCCGTGGGATGGTGTAAATGTGGGCCTGGTTTGATGGAGCCTGAGAGACACAAAATCAGCACTGGGGCTCTTTGGCTTGTTCTCAGTTACCCTGAGCAAAGCACTTCATTCCCTTGTGTTTCAGTAAATCTCTGCATTATTTTATGTATTTAAAGTAAACTTTAATAAGTGATACAAATTTAAAGCTAATTTTTAAATATCTAAACTAAACAGTGGGTACCTAAAGCAGGAGTTACAGGAGGCAGCTGGGGAAGCAGAGTTGAGTGGGGAGGTGTTAAGTGTCTCTCCCCACGTCAGGGGGACAGGCACTCTGGTGTCTGGGCATGGTGTGGGTTCCCAGTTCCACACTCACTCAGGAGGTCTCTGTGTGTGCATCTGCAGGGGCTCTGGGGGCCCTTCCAGAGGCAGGGCCGTGCTAACAATGGCCTGGCTGGGAAGGGAGACTCTCAGAGTGCATTTCCCATGCCCTGCCTGCACTGTTCCTTCACAGAAAGCGGTGCTGGACAGGGAGGAAATGCTGCTGCTGCTGGGGAAAAAAAGATCCTGAGTTTGTAATTTAACCATTTAGGAGGCAGACCTGTGAGCCACATCTCTGTGCTCAGGATGAACGTGGACTTTAACAACTCAGGAGTTGCCTCCTGTGTGCCTTGAGGTTCCTTATCCCTCTCTCATGGATTCAGACCCCGAGGCAGCAGCTCCTGGTCAGATCCTGGATGGTGGGAGTGGCAGCTGCCAGGGCAGAGCGTGGTTTCCATTCAGCTCCAGGTAGCCTGGAGTTTTCCAGCTGTTGAGACAGAGCAGTCCATGGACTGGTTGCCAGGAGAGTTGGGGCTCACACCACTCACCCACAGCACCCCAGGGTTAGAGAACACACACAGTTTGTGTTTTGAACTTGCCTTAAGCGGATTTTGGGAGGATTTGGTTCAATGGAGCTGCTGCTGGTTGTGAACTTTCCTCCTGAGCTTTGCTGGACGCAGAGGACTCTCACAACCTGCACTTACCACGCTGTGTATCTTCAGTGCCTCCAGTTCCAGCCCGGGCTCTGCAGTTGGGGGTTTGGAACGTGGAGCCAGAGCAGAGCACGTTGCTGGGAGCTCTCTCCAACTGCACTTCATCTTTATTCAGGCCCAGATGGTCGCAGCCATTCTGCTTGACAAAGCAAAACGTGGCTGCACCGCCGAGCTTTTTGTTACCCAGCACTTGGGGGTGGCTGGAGCGCAGGAACCCCAGAGGGTTTCAGGGAAAGGAGCTGGTGCAGAGGTCAGAGCGGGGTTCAGCCCCGAGCTGCCTCACTCCCACCGGCGGGAGGTGGGGACGGGGTCTGGGTCCCTTCCCTGGCACAGCCAGGGCTCTGCCCCTCCCTTCTCACACCTGCCCTCCCTGTCCAGGAGCTGGAGTTCCTGCGGGTGGCCAAGAAGGAGAAGCTGCGAGAAGCCACCGAGGCCAAGCGCAACCTGCGGAAGGAGATCGAGCGCCTGCGGGCGGAGAACGAGAAGAAGATGAAGGAGGCGAACGAGTCGCGGGTGCGGCTGAAGCGGGAGCTGGAGCAGGCGCGGCAGATCCGCGTGTGCGACAAGGGCTGCGAGGCCGGCCGGCTGCGCGCCAAGTACTCTGCTCAGGTGAGGCCATGATGGGCTGGACAGCCCTTCCCCTGCCCCTGCCCCTTCCCCTTCCCCTGCCCCTTCCCCTGCCCCTGCCCCTGCCCCTGCCCCTGCCCCTGTCAGAGCCCCCCAGGCACAGGGGAAGGTGCCTCAGGAAAGGGCAGGACTCTGAAAAATGGGGCACAGGGGCCACAATTTAAACTCTCACAGTTTAAACTCACGGCCCTGCCACGCAGGCTCTGCCTCCCAGGGAAGGCCTGAGCTGCTGCCAGAGGAGCTCTGGGAGCACAGGGGGGCTGCACGGGGGGTTTTCAGACACAGGAGCTCCCTGGAGCCCTGGCTGGGCCTCAGGTGGGAGCTGCAGGTATTTGGTGTGGCGGCTTTAAGGGAGGAGGGGAAGAGGAAAAGCAGAGCCCTGGCAATCAGAGGCTCTCTGATAACGGGAAGGGGAGTGGCCCCTGTGCTGCTGAGACACGTCTGAGCAGGAGCAGGAAATGATGTGGGGCTTCCTCTCCAGCATCACAGGATGTCTCACTGATAAGGGGTGTCCAGACTAAACAGAGCCACGCCGGGAGCTGCTGCCCTGGGCGTTCCTGGCTGTTCCCAGAGCGCAGGCACCAGCAGGGCAGGTGAACCCTGGGCTGGGTGTGCTCCAGCCGTGTCCAGCCAGGCACTGGGGCTGCTCCACAGCCTGTGACAAGGGAGCTCCAGTCTCCTAATGCACCCCCTCCTTGGGGAGGAATAAATGAGGTTTCCTAAGCTAAAGGCTAAAATCACCTCAAAAAGAGCTCCAGTAGCCAAATATTCTGCAGGTTTATCTTTTCTGCAGCCAGGACTGGCAGGCTGGCAGCATCCCCTGCTGTTTGATTCCAGCCCCGTCACAGCCCCCTGAGCCCCCCAGGCCATCCAGCTGTGCCAGAGCTGTCTCTGCCTAAAGAAGTGACAGTGATGGTGTAAGAAGCGACCAGAGTTCTGTTGCATTAAGGGATTCTTAGGCTGTGTCTGAACTCTGCTGGTTTTCACCTCCCTTGCTGGAGCTGGAGTCCCTGGGAAGTTTCAAAGCTCAGCAGCCCCTGCAGTGCCCTCACAGAGGTGGGAGTGGTCGGGAAAAGGGAATTCCCGACAGTCCTACAGCTGAGGTGCAGGTTTTGTCCCTGCTCTGGGGTGAAGTGCAGGCTCTGAAGCATCCCCCTTGCTCTGCCCCCAGATCGAGGACCTGCAGGTGAAGCTGCAGCACGCCGAGGCCGACCGGGAGCAGCTCCGCGCCGACCTCCTGCACGAGCGGGAGGCGCGGGAACACTTGGAGAAAGTGGTCAAGGAACTTCAGGAACAACTGTGGCCTAAGTCGAGCAGCCAGCCCAGCAGCGAGAGCACCTCGAGCCCCATGGAGAACTGAGCCCAGGAGCAGCCCAGGCCTCGGAGCGGCGCCGGCACAGGGAGGGCGAGGGGGGTGTGAGTGTGAGCGGTGTCCTGGCACTCGCGGCGGGAGCACGGACTCGCAGCGGTTGGAAGGCAAATGTCACCCTCTAGAACAGAAGCACTGAATTCTGCCTCTTTATTTTTGGTTGTTTTTTTTTGTTTGTTTGTTTCCCGATCCATATAGCACAACATCTTACTGTGCCTAGAAAACACAAAGTGTTTGTAAACAAAATACTTTTAAGTCCACAGCGAAATTTTCTACTGGCAAACTCCAAGCAAGCAGCGTCGTCCAGCTGAACCCAGAGTCCAAGGCGAGCAGGGCAGCGGGGTTGTGTTCTCCTGCCTGTTGGGACATTTTGGAATTGACAAAACAAACCTACTTTTCTTATAAGCTATTTAAAATAATTCATTACACAGACTTGGTATTAAAAAAAAATTAACACGATTTTTATAACGAACCTTTAAAAGCAGAACAAAAAAAAAAAAAACAACAAACAAAAACAACAAACCTTCGATGCACAATTTTTAATGACTTTATAGGCTTTGGGATTCTTTGTGCAGAAGCCCCTCTCTGGTGATGATGCCATGTCAGGAGCAGTTTTCCAGCCATCTCGGAAGCCAGCGCGGTTCCCTCCCGTCACGTGGGGGTGGGGGAAGTTCAGAGTGCTTTTCCAAGTTGATTTTTTTTTTTCCTTAGAAAGAATTACCTTAATTTCCTGCCCTAAACACGAGAAGAAGGGAAGATGCAGGAGCGTGCAGGGGGTGGGGAAGGAGGTGGTGTTGGACTGAGAGCCCCACGGGCCCCGCGTGTGCAGCCCTCGCCAGCACTGTCGGTGTGTTCAGAGACTTCATCCAGGAGCACTTGAGCTTTGGGAAAGGGAAGAAAGGAAGGGAGGAAGGAAACGGATGATCAGTTGGTAGAGGAACAAAGCAGAGACATCTGTGTGTTGAAGTCATCCTGAAATCCTCAGTTTTCTGGAGAACTCATCTTGTTGCCCATCTTGCCGCGCGTTCAGTGTTCCTGCTCCCGTCCCCGCTGTCCGCCGGGGTTCCCGACCCACACAACACAACACCAACGTTTTTGCTGCTGTGAATAAGCCACCTCTTTTTTATTAAAAATGCTTTTTGTTTTTAGAAAGAGAAATTACTTTAATTTGGGGTCCAAGCCGCAGCCCTGGGACACGACGCAGCCATCACTGCCTTGGGGTGGTGCTGATTTTTGGTTTTTGTTTTTTTGGTTTTGTTTTTTAAACCTGCACTTTGTTTACTCTGCATTTTATTCCCTGTTTCTGAAGTCAAGCATTCTAGATTCTGCCCTGAGAGCTGTGCAACCCATGAACCAGCCTGCCAGCACTGCCACCTCCCATCGCCATCTCCGTCCCACGCAGGAGGAGCCAGCAGGTCCAGAGTGTCCCCACACCAGGGAACTGGGTTTGTGGCTGTGTGTCTGACCCAGGCTGGGGAGCAGCAGAGATGCTCCCCAAAGTGCTTAACAAATAAAGCTGGTGCTTTAATGATCAAGAGAAAAGTTATTTTCACCCCTAAACACTCACCTCTGACACACTCAAACGTGAAAATGGGATCTGGGGCTGCAGATGTGCCTTCCAGCTCATTTTTCCTCTCAGCATCTTCTCTAGGCAATGCTGACACTTTTTTACCTTAAGGAATAAAAACAGAAAAAAAAGAAAAAAAAAAAGAGAACCCCCCTATGCATCATCATACCCAGAAGTTACTCTAAACGAAGGAAATATTTCCAGTAATCTTTATTTGCTTTTGGACATTAATGCAAACTATGTAAGCTTCAAAATTATTTCCCAGTAGACAGAAAGCGGCTTCCAATCCTAAAATTATGGTATTTACTTACAGTACATTAGAGAGATTTTTTTTTTATTATTTTTTTTTTAAACAAGAGCTGTTTGCTTGAAACCATTATAATAACCATTATAATAACTGTGAGCATTAACAAAAGAAGTTCATATATATATGTTTTAGG